TATCGCCTGAATGCTGCGGCCGACCGTGCGGATATTCGCTACAAGAAGTCGGAACGACGTCGTGAACAACATGTCAAGAGATTCACACACCGATTGGCAGATTCACAACTGAAGAGCATCCTGAAAAGTCAGAGATTCAAGAGCATGGATGATCTGGAATATGTGTTGAAGCAGCAGGAAGATGACTGGGATGATGACCGTCAAAGCAGCTCGTCCACCAAAGCGAGAGACTTCAGGGCGGACAACCTCCGTCAGGGGCGACTCAGGACCAAATATCCAGGACGAGCGTATGTCACCCAGAGCGGCGACGAGTCTGACTCTGACGAACGACATGTGGTGTTCGAGGATGAAACTCTCGAGATTCCCCCGACCCAGGAAGGTGCCGAGCCTCACGAGGCACTTCCTGAAAACCAAGGCCTGGGCATGACCATGGAAGAATTAACGCAACATGTGCTCAGGGTCATGGAGAATTCAGGATGGAACAAGCCGGGGCATATGGCACACCAGGGCAAAGCCCGCCAGAGTAACGGCCACCCAGGATCGCCATCGCCTAGGTACGACAACCCTGATCGGGACATGCGTTGTGACAACTGCAATGGAATCGGACAGGGCTGAGAATTGCACCTAGTCTGCGAAAATTGTCATCGCACTGGACATCCTACTCAGCTATGCAAGACCCTACCGTGCAAGAAGTGTGGTAAGTTTCACGACGGTCGCTATGAAGATTGGGAGATGCTAGAGTCGATTGCACGACTAGCCCGCCAAGGCAGCGTGAAAGGCTTACCCACTCCGATGCTGGACCGACTCCTAGCCGTCAAGGCCGATCCTGGTGATGGGTCGTTAAACCATTAAGCCCGCTGGATGGGGATCCAGTACGCGACGGGCATGGTAATACCCAGGATTGTGCGCCTTAGTATATGTCGGCCCTGAGTTGAGGACCAAGAACCAAGATAACCAACTTCTATGTTTCAAGATCCCATGAGTTCAGGATTAGGCCGTTCTGGATTGCTTCATTCAGGAGGTACTTATCCAGAGTTCCCTGTGGAATTCCGGCTTTGGGATGGAGAACGTTATGGGTGGTGGACTACTCACCAGCCAGGGAAGGAAAAGCGCAGGATTGCTACGGTTCATGGCGCCGTGAATGACGTAAGACCTCGGATACTCCTGGACACCGGAGCGTCATTGAGCATGATCAGCTTGGTTTTAGCGCGTAAAACTCAAGTCAAGCTCAATCGACAACGTCAAGTCAAGGTGTCTGGATTAGGAGGTATTCCTACCCAGATCACGGCAAGTGCAGAAGTCAAGATAACCCTGGGATCCAGGGTGGTCTACATCGTGGAATTGTAGGTGGCCAATATTGATGAAGGATTGGATGTGCTCCAGGGCATGGGTTTCATGTTTCGCGCAGGAGTGCGGGTCTGTGTTCGAGAAAGTTTGGTGCAACTCCCGGATGAGGAGTCTCTCCTGATGTATGATGAAAATGTCAAAGTACCCCAGGGCGTGGACTTGCCTGTCACGTCCCCAGAAAAGTTGTACCTCATGACCGGAGAGCACGCGGTAGTGCGCATTCAGTATGGACATACGAATCCAGAACGAGAAGTCGTTTGGGCTGGACGAGGTGACAGGTGGGTGACCAAGATTGTGTATCAGGCCAGATCCTGGCCAGTGGCGATAAAAGTTGTGAATGTGTCGAAACGCAATGTCTGGATCGATATGAGAGCACCGCTAACCAGGATTGTGCAGTATGGGTCGTTCCCGCAGGCCGGACGCTTCGTCCGCCCTGGAACGCGAGTTTATCGTGAATGGCAGACTCTGATCCTGGAGCACGCCCAGTCAGAACAAGCCAGACTCAGGGCTGAAAGGAGAGAACAGACACTGCGAGAACGAGAACCCCCGTGTGCCGAAAATGGAATACCAATGGCCAACCAAGACCCCAACCATGATCTGCTGAAGTCAGAATCAGTTGAAGGACCCCCGTGCTTCAAGGTGTTGAATCGCGGAGAGTTGGTGGATGCGGGTGCACAGACGGAAGAGGGCCCCCCGGTGATAACCAGGATGGACGTCGCCACACAAGTCAGTGAAAGTCAACTAGATAGCTATGAATGTGATCCTGGTGATGACGATACTCTGGATGGTGACCTTGGCGGATACGCCTCCAGAATGGACTATTGAATTCGAGGAACCCCACGGCGGCGAGACGTTCGCAGAGGTACACCCTGAACAGGATGCTTCAGGATTCCCCCCAGAACCAGCGTCCTGCACACCACTCGAGAAGTTGGAGATGGAATACGAACGCTGTATGAGGGTTTGCGCGGAAGAACTGGACTTGGAGCCAGGAGTGTACATACATGAAGGGAGCGAGATGCTGGCAGAATTGCGGGACCAGTTGGTAATGCTGCCAGAATTGAGCGAATTGCACCCAGAATGTGGCATCGATCAGGCCGATGTAGGCGTCCCAGGTGAGACCTCTCTCGAAGATGAATCCAGGATGCGTGCAATACTGAAGCGCCATAGAAAGATTTTCCTGGGCGACGGAAATGCCGCACCTGCTCCCGCCTGAGGAGTGGTATGTGACCTCGATGTAGGAGACACCAAACCTATCGCGTTGCGCCCAAGGTCGATTGGACCGCACGTAGCAGTCAGGGTATATGAACTCCTCAAGAAATTGCTCGAGAACAATCTGATTGAACATTCAGAATCGCAGTAGGCATCTCTGATCGTGATCGCGCTCAAGAAAAATGGGGTGGACATCAGGATGTGTATTGACTATCGACTTGTGAATAATTTCATACAGCTGTCTAGCTATCCGCTATCTCTCATCTGCTAGTTGGTTTTGAGAAAGCACTCTGGTTCATGAGCATGGATATGGCCAGCGGGTTCTGGGCAATCAGGATGACAAGCCAAGTTGATTTCAGCTTTCGTATGTCCGATTGGACATTTTCAGTGGATTCGAATACCATTTGGTCTAAAAAAACGCACCTCTGATTTACCAACAAGTGATCAACAATTGCCTGTGGGGATTCGTGAGTCTGACACCAGAGGAGGAGGCGGAAGTAGACCAAGAAGTTTTGGATTACCGGAATCTGGACCCCCAGGATGATGGACCTCCAGGGTGTGGCACTCCAGTGTGTGGCACTCCAGGGTGTACTGGTTGCGAAGACGGCCACATTTCTCGGTCTATACCGACCCTGGCGGACCAAATGACAGTGTTCAAGAGGAACATCCCTGCTCCGACGCAGATGTCACCTGTCTTAGGGCGCAGTTCGTATATCGACGATATCGTACATGGCGCACCGACTTGGAATGCGTTGTGTGCTGATTGGGATGCCTTGCTATACAGGCTGCGGTATTGGAACATCTCAGTGAGTCTGCCGAAGAGCGAGTTCGGGAAATTGTCCATTCCGTATTTGTCGCATGAGATTAGCGCTGAAGGAATCAGGGCAACACCGAAGATCGCTAAGGGTGTTCAGGATTTACCGTTCCCAACTACAATGAAGGGAGTGCAAACTTTCTTGGGCAGCCTGAATTATTACCATAAATTCATAGACTATCCTGTGATTGCAGCCTCCCTGTATGAACTCTCGGATGGCCAAGTACGTTCAGGGCGAGATCTATCCAGGGCAAAGCAGGCGTTCGAAATCCTGAAACACAAGATCGTGTCGACCCCAGTATTGAGGCACCCTGACAAGGCCAAACCGTTTGTTATTGTACCCCATGCAAATCAATGGACTGCCTGTGCAGTCCTGGGTCAAGAACATGACGGTTTGATCCAGCCAGTGCGTTTTACGGGGCGTGTTCTCCACGATGCGGAGCTGAGATACCACATCGCCGAAAAAGAGGTCATCGCCGTGTTGAGGGTACTACAGGTGTTCAGAACACTCATTCAGGGCTGTCCTCTCATTGTGTACACTAGACACTCGGTTCTGAAGTGGATCATGAAATCCAAGACAGCAGATGGGAGATGCGTACCCTGGGGCGTTTTACGTTCGCAGTGGAATCTGGACATCAGGAAGATCCAGCGAGACGAAGATGGACTAGTTGCCATCCTGGGTGCCGGCATCACACCTCGGGAGCATCTAGACGAAGTCGCCGAGGAGCTCATCCCTACCAATGGTCGTGCGAAACCGCCACCGATAATTAGCGTGGAGATGTTGGAAGATACCTTTGAGGGTGTCGTTTTAATCTTTGATGGTGCAGCCAAGAGAGACCAGGCAAGGTAGCTGTGGGTGTATTTTGTGGAAACTCCCTGGATGGAAAATCTTGGATGCACAGGGTTTCATCCTGGAAGATGTCACTATGAATGACGTCGAGTACTGCGGACTTTTGAACGGTCTAACCATGGCACAGGCCAGGGGCGTCAGGGACCTCATCGCTGTGGGTGACTTACGAATTGTCATCCAGCAAGTACAGGGTCTGATCAACTCTAATCAGCCTCACTTGCAAAGGTGATTGGCCAGTTGTGAAGCATTGAAAGCAAAGTTCGATTTGGTGAGACTGGTACACGTCAAGTGGGACTTCAATCAGGCAGCGGATTACCTGACTTCCAAGACACTGTTGCTCTCCTGGAGTGTCCAAGAAGACGGAGAACGTCAACACCTGGAACAAGTATCCAAGATTCAAGAGAAGTTGATGAAGTCAGCCGAGAGTCACCTGGTGACCGGTCATTCAGGATTGATTTTCACCCAGGGTGAAGGAGGCTGTTCAGACATTCCTGGATGCCCCTCTGCCCTGGATGTCATGGCGGCTCCACTGCCACATGCAGCCAAAATCTTGGTTGCTGTGACACGGGCTAGTGTCTGAGACCAACCGGCGTCATCAGAACCGCTCGACCCTCTAGATTATCAACGAGAGAGGTGGCGGCGAATCAGGGTGCATCAGGAACAAGACGAATATTTGTGCGATTTGAGAGATTTCCTGAACGGAGAAGTCGATTGTTTCACGTTACGCCGGTTGCGGAAGATCGCCAAGGTCGCAGACCTGTTTGCTCTGGATGCCCGTGGTGTGCTGTATCGGTTAGCCCAGTTCACCCGAGGTAGACCCCGAGATACGCATTTCGACTGGTAGTGCCGGCCACCCTGAGAGATGACGTCTTACATTATGCCCACGAGGATTTTCAGGGTGGACACCAGGGCATCAAACGGACTCACGACAAGTTGTGCTCTGAATTCTACTGGCCCGGGATGTATGCAGACGTAGAACGGTACGTGGAACGGCACGTAAACGTGTGTGTGGATTGTGCGAGCGGCAAAGGACATCCGTCTAACCCGGTCCATCTCCGGGAAACATCAAACCAAGACGACCATTTGAGGTGGTCTCGATGGATTTCATGACCCACATGCCGAAGTCCGAGCGAGGAAATACTTTCCTGCTCTTGTTCCAAGATATGTTCGTGATGTGTAAACCGATGTCCTCCCCGACGGCCCAGGATGTAGCCGAAACATATGAGGAACGGGTGTTCAGGATGTTTGGCGCTTCAGAAATGATCCGCCACGATCAAGACCCAAGATTCATGAGTGAAGTTTTCACCCGATTCAGGGAACTCCTGGACAGCCGTCAAAGATCCACCCTGAGCTACCGACCCCAGGCCAATGCACAACAAGAACGTTCTGTTCAGACTGTTATCCGGAGCGTGCGAGCGTATGCTGCCGAGGAAGATCAGTCAGATTGGGATGATCACGCCGAGCGGTTGATGTTCACCCTGAACACATCTTTTGACGCGACCCGCCGGGATATACCATTCTACTTGGTCCATGGTTGGGATGCTCAAGGCACCATATCTTCCATGCTAGGACCTAAGCCGTCCAGCCTTCCAGAACGGACTGCGTACGAATGGAGGAGGAAGTTTCAGCGCGACTATAGCTATGCACGAGCATGTGCCAAGGACTTGCAGAAGAAAACAAAGCGCCTGAGATCAGAAGCTCAGACCCAGAAGTGGAGAGAGCTTTCAGAACGTTTGAAATCTGGATTCGAAAGGGGCGACGCAGTGTGGTTGTATATACCCAAAGTAAAAACCAGGGTTGAGTCGCAAGTTGGCACACCTGTGGCATGGTCCTTTCAGAATTGACGAAGTACACGTTGATTTCAGGGTGAAGTTGAAGATCGACTGAACTGGATATCGTTTGAACCTTTGGGTGCATATAAGTCGTCTGAAGCCCCGGGCACTCTTCCCGAGGAGACCCACCGATGAAATCACCCTGGACGAAAATGATGACCTGGACGCGGAATTGTTGTCCGAAGATAGTTGGGAAGCAAACATCCAGGATGGTGAGTACGAAGTGGAACGAATCCTGGATCTCCGATGGACTAAACGCACCCGCACATCCAGAAGGACTAGAGAATACCTTGTCAGGTGGAAGGGGTACGTCGATCCTGAATGGATACCACTATCGCAACTCAACTGTGGAGCCCTGTTGTATGAATTCAACCAAGGCGCCAGAGCCAGAGCACGCTTCAGGGCGATGCAGGGTGGTGACGACCATCCCCAAATTTAGCTGGGCTCATCCATCAATCCTGGATGGCCCACTGATTCTGACCCAGATTGATGAATTTTGTGAACCATCTCGATTTTGTGGATATATTCGACTGTGTAGTGTTTCCTTGAATTACCTATGTTCCTGGATGGCTCTTTATAACTGAACCCTGGATGGCGAACCAATATTCACATGATTCTGAGGTAAATTTTGAATTAAAAGGTAAACAAAGTGACCAGGATGAAGTGAAAATGCCATGTATTAGAACGCATTGGTTTAGACCTACGACAACTCAAATCACTGTGACGAAATATGCAAAAGAGCGCCTCAATCATATGTGCGCGAGCTGGGTTATCTCGACAAGCTTTCTCAGGGAGAAGACTCATCGACACTGACTTGGGGATATGCTGCACCAGCTCTTCATCACTTGTCGCAGTGCCCCACTGCACCCTTGCTGGTTCGCGACGATCCCGGATGTCGAGCAACAGTCATCAAGATCCCGTAATGAACCCACGATGAGATTCCTGGACCCGGAATCTCCACGACATCGGTGTCTGCCACCGTGAGACTGCCTGAGTCAACTTGTGCCAGAGGCGACTGACGACGCAGACTACCAGAGCGCATACGGTTTGACGGTGTGCCAGTAGTAGCAGTAGACTGGGTCGCTGGTGCATCAGAATGCGACGAAATGGAGATACGACAACGTTTCAGGGCTGAGGGAACACTATCACCACCCTGGACATCATCATCATCCTGGATGTCGACGTCGTCATCCGGGTTGTAATTGGTGTCGCGCTGCACGTTATCGTGTTCGCTGCTAGCATCGTCCATAACCTCTTGAGCCACACGCACGTCGGCGTCCACTAGATCCGGCCAGTATCCAGGGCGAACCCCCTCGGAGTGCAAAGAATCCAAACGTAATTCTGAGCGGAGATAATATTTCTCTGGGACGTACTTGGCCCAGAACGATTCGTCCAATCGATTCCACAACATCATGCTTGCCAGCATGTCGGCGAGCGCCGACGGTGGAAACAGATTGTGAGTCATGACGTCTCCCCTCAGCATGGCGAAGAACCCTGGTAACCAATACCAACAGGATCACGTCAGGGCGAAGGGTTTCCAATAGCACTGGCTCAATTTTCATGATCTCCCGAACGTCCGATTCCAGGAACATCAACGGATTCGAGGGAGAGCGAGCCTGATCAGCAGAGGGAGCCAATCCAGAAGGGCGCAGCTGTGGTTGGTCAGGGACCTTGCGTGAAGAACCGCGCAACCCTTTTTCTTGGTGGGCGTGGTCTTCCATGACGAGGGTTCGCTGGCACCGGAATCCTGGTGGGTCAAGTCGACCTCATTGTCTTTGCCACCTGGAATATTCTTGCCCTGGGTGCCGTCGCCCTGGTCGCCACTTTGGCCCTTCTCCTCTTCGTCTGAGTCATCCTCAGCGAGCGTGGCGAATGGTGAGCCCTGAGCAAACGGGTCATCCACAGCAGTGGTTGCGATCAATGTGCTCCATGACTTTTCAGGGGCGACACCATCACGAAAACACTCCAAGAGATTCTGAAGCCGTTTCCAGTTGTCGTTGACCCGGTTCTGGTCGCGATTCAGGAAGTTCATCAATTTAGGAACGTTGAGATGACGTGAACCAGAACGAGTGCGACCAGGAGTCGCAGGTTCTCTACCTGGGAGCGCAGCTCACCAACCTCTTCGCGAAGGGCTCGCGTGTTCAACTCATGCTCGGCTAAGACCCCACCCAGGTCACTCTGACGACCATGATGAGCTCAGACCGCCCTGGATTGGGTGGGTTTGGATGCAGTCTGGTCATGATCGTTCACCTCGGTGGCGATTTCCTCTGTGAAAGATCCTGATCAGAGGGGCGGTTGTGGCGAGGTGGATTACAATGTTGAGAGTAGAAATGGAGAGACGAGGAAGTGGAATAATGTACTGATTGGTCAAGGTGAATGAGTTCAGAGCCGACATCTGCGTGAGACATGGAGAGAGGCAGTTCCAGATTGAGGAAAA